TTACGCGCCCAAAACCAGACTTTGATTGAGCTGGAAGTCCGTTCAAGGGCGTACCATCCACCTCCGTTGCTATTGAACGATGGTCCATAACTGTTTGAGTTTCGGAACTTTACACCACAACCGCTGTTTCCGTTTACAGCTGCGTTGCAATCGAGTTGGGTGGGGGATCTGGAGCCAGTAATACATTTTAGTAGGCCAATCACAGACAAAAAGACAAAAAGCCTGACCCAGTTTCGTCACGAGAACCCGGCATAGAGCACCCTATGTTAATGTATGTAAATGCACAAGCCCATCGGAGAAAATCGAGAGATGCTACCACCTCCGGAGGTATGCAAGGTTGCGGCATTGGGGGACTGATCGTTGACGCCCTCAACAATGTCGATTTCACCCTGAGAAGAGTCATGAGACGAATAGTTTGATCAAAGACTTGGGCTTACACCGTCTGGCCAGTTGGAACCCTTGACTTCCCAAATAGCAGGCCAGGTTCTGTTTTATCTTATATCAACGTTCTTCATCCAAAAAAAAAAAAGGAAATTTACCCGCATCCCTGGGGCATGTGTCGAACATTGAAGCTAGATTGAAGTGTGCATTATGAGTAATCAGACGATAGTAAGAGTAACAAATACTAGCACGTACACGGCGACGTGATTGGTGTAGGCCTTCCAGGACCGGATACGAACTGAGTTTCGACCTGCTCCGCCGGAGCCCAAGTACGATCTATAGTCAGCTCGCAGAACGAACGTGTCGCCAGATGCGTAAGAGAGGTTCTGATTCCTGGCTGTCCCCTGATCAACATAATTTCTAGAAAATAGCCTCTTTGTCTGGAACAGAGAAATAATTGAAGGAGTGGCTTGCTCACACTCGACCGTGCGTTGGGTCAGCGATTGCTTCCCAAGCAAATGCATCGAAGAAATTAGAGCCAATGATGGTGTCAGACAGCGAATAGGCTGACACCAGGTTGCAGGTAGCGAGAAGAGACAAGCCGACGAGATATCCCCAAGAGCGAGTGAACATTGCGGAAAGTGACCAATAGATGAATCTCCGGGATGGCCAGCGAGGTAAATCATTAGTAGCTCATATACCCTCAAATTTGTTGACATGGCAATTGAATTGGACTCTCCTAAACCTCCGCCTGCGGGAGCCTGAGTACCTCCATATCACCCGCCCAAAGTTTATTTGGCAAATTTGTTCTTACATTCAAAGTGATCGGGGTGGAAGTCCATGCGTAGACCAGACATTATCGGATGAATTCCGCAGTATGATACCCATAGTGGTGATAGTGTCCTGGAAAATTGAGAATACCTGTCAGCAAGTGTTTCTGCGTCAGTATTGCATTGCAGAGAACTGCAAGTTCCGAGCAGAAGTCTGAGATTACCAACTTGCGAGAGAGAGAATACGATGCCGTTTGTAGCACAAAGATGCAGACTTCGACGGCACTGAGCGCATGTTGTTCCTATTGGCGTCTTATGAGGGTGTTTATCGGCGAAAGTCCCAGCAATATGTAGCAAGGAAGATAAGAATGTTGCCAAGGAAAATGTTTCTGTGTGATACTGTTATAACCTATTGATTCATAGAAGCAGTCGACCAGAGCGGCGACAACTTCGACGTTCGTCTTTCTTCCATAAAAAGGCGCTTCGGGGGACTTGGATGAGTTGCCAACCGAGATGTAACGGAAACGAGCTCTACGAAAGCGATCATCGCAGGAATTGCTGGAAGAATATAGTCTACAAGAGTTTCAAGACACGCTGTTGTGCAGTGTGGGTGATACGGTGAGAGCCAACTCCTATACAAAAAGTTCTTCGGAGAGCTGCGCTTCAGATGGTCGATGCCGAACAGGGGCACTTTGATGACACATAATAATTTATTTTTTCAGGCCAAAGTTTCGTTTTTCTCATTCATAAATATAGTATACAATTAAGAAAATGCATGTTTGGGAAGATCAAAATCTTGTAATTACTGGTAAACTCTGAGAGATGCAATGTCGAAGTAGGCATTTTGGAAAGCCCCAGGGTTATTGTTAACGTAGTCTGAAGGTTGCAAACCGTGAGCGTCAGCAACTTTTGTGAGGTAATGGCATACTGACCAACGCAGGTAGAAGGGCAACCTGAGGAGCCATATACACCGCCAGCCCAGTCTCCGCCTATGTTTCGATTAGTGCCGTGAATGCATTCAACGGCAGAAAGCTTACAGAAAGTCAAGTTAATAATGATGTTGTGCTCTTGGAAGTAGTTTGGGATGTTGCAGCTCGTGTTCGGGAAATAAGCCGTGGGGGTACCCTAGAAATTAAACTTTAACTTTTGGGTCGTGAACGTGGATCGAAAGTAGCTTGTACCCAGTTCGTAGGTGTCGCAGTTGATGCGCCATTCTTGATTTCAGCAGGGACACTACCATCGTTCCGCGACCAGAACCATACTTTAATGTAGGTCGAAGCTCTCTCAAGAGCATACCTAGACGGAAGTAGCCCATGAGGAACGTAAAGATTCGGAGAAAGGACACAATATACCATCCACCGCCATTGCTATTGAAAGAAGGGCCATAACTGCTTGCAGCTGGGAATTTTACTCCGCAACCAGCATTGCCGTTGACCTGGGTGTTGCAGTCGAGTTGTGTGGAAGATCTAGGAGGCAGATCAATCAACTGATCAATAGCAACTCGGTGTATTTTACCCAGTCTGCGATCTGGAAGCAGGCATAGCGCATCCTAAAGTATGAGTTTAGCATACTAGTTGGACGGGAGTATTCCTTGCACACCTGGAGCTGTATGCAACGTGGCTGCATTGGGAGCTTGGTCGTTGACGCCTTCGACAATATCAATTTCTCCCTGGCTTCAGATGAGTTGATTTTGAGCGAGACGAACGAAAAGGGATCTTACGCCAGTGGGCCAGTTGGACTCTTTAACCTCCCAAATGGCCGGCCAAGTGCTATAAAATCTCAGCATTATGCATCTACAATAGAAATTTTTTACTTACCCACATCCTTGGGGCATGTGGCGTACATTGAACCTGATGGATTTCGATTCAAAAAATAGATAAATGGGACGCGTTGTGCTCACACTGCAACATGGTTCGTGTATGTCTTCTTGGATCTGATTCTAACCGAGTTTCTGCCGGCGCCGCTGGAGCTTAGAACGGTTTTATAATCAGCACGAACGATAAACGTGTCTGCTGATGCATAAGAGAGGTTCTGGCTCTTGGCAGTGTTCTGGTCAACATAGTTGCTTTACATTTCATTCAGTTGGGTATAAGGTCGCGGAAGTTAAACAAATTTACACGCGCCCGTGGGTTGGATCTGCAATAGCCTGCCAGTCAAACGAGTTAAAGAATGCGGTGCCGACGATGTTGTCCACAAGTGAATAGGCCGAAACTAGGGTTGGGCCGAGTGAGTTCGAAGCCAGAGCGAGCCCTAACACTGAAGTAAGAGAGAATTTCATGTTTGAGCTGCTGAGAGATTCAAGGAGAGCTAAGAGGAGAAGTTCGATGAATGGCTTGTCATCAAGTCTCCTTTTAAGCTCTTGAAGAGCCTGTAACCACATTGTACCACTGCAGCTGCTAAGAGCACAAAGCCGAATAGAATACTCCAGACATATCTTTGGGATTAGGTTGCCAAAGCGAAGTCTTCAGTAAAACTTCCTGTAGCTAACACATCGATCAAGATGACATAGGTTGAACAGGCGGGTCAAGCGCGTGTTGTGGTTCAAGAACGAAGGCGCAGCTAAGCAAAGTAAATTTCGGTGTCATCACTGACATATACGGAAAGAAATGATACGAACATGCCTTTTTTGGATTTTCATAACCTCGTGGTTTGTTAAGCAGATGTGCGACTGGAAAGCTGACCACTCGTGGTCCCGCCAAAGTAACAACCTGAGGCCAACTGAAAGTCTATTGTAAGTCAATCACGCATGGAACGGAACTTCGAAGAAGACTTACCGGTACCGATGATTTGCTTTCGGAAATCCAAGCCTTGCAACTGAAGCGCTGAAAGGACTTTGGCAAAGACGCCTAAGAACTGAAAGATGGAGCCCCATTCTCCTGATGTGTTATCCTTGTGAAATGGGACTGGTAATTTGTCGAGATCTGCAGCTACAGCATCCATGTTCCGAGGAGTAAAAACGTCAACAGAAGCTTTCCGTTGCCAGCGATTATATCTGGATTTCGTTCAACGGGCGTGTTTGGAACCCTGGTTGAGAAAGCTTTTTTTGGTTTACCGTTTGAGGATTTTCTCGGAGAATACATGTGTTGCATTTCTTGCCCGTGACCTTCAGGTTCCATTTCTATTCATATCAAGCACCGGTAGAGATTCGACACTTCATCCTTGGAAGTAGCTCAGACCTGGCTTGGTTAGTGAACGAAACCGGAGGAGAATTTTGGTTCGCTCGGCTCTCGCTTCCAGGACAGGCACATGCGGGCTCAGCGTCAGCAGTCAAAGTAGTTCAGCCAGCTGTATAAGTTCATGGACGAGAGACTGAAGAGATTGAAAATGGGCAGAAGGTCGGAATGTGTGTAATTTAGTTGGTTCATGTGGTTTTTCCTGACTCAACTAAAAACGATACTCTTCCATGCTATCCCATGTTCTTCCATGAGCAACAAGAGTTGGGTCGTTCCGAGGTTTAAAAATCACACAGGTGTAACGGTACTGCAAGACGCTGGCATGACTCCTTCAAGTTCGACTTCGCTCATTCAACAATCATTCCCACGATCATCTATTTGCACCTTTAACCTTAGCTAATTTATAAGTGATTCAGCGCTGAGCGCTGTGTGGTTGCAATGAAAATTGTTGCGAACTCAAGAGGCGTGAGCACCATGAATAGTTGATTATACACAAATACATTCAACTCTGAAATATTTAAGGGTAGCTTTCATAACACAGTTTGTATAATACTTGGCTAATTTAGACTTTCTTCTTTTACTTTTCTTCACTTTTCTTGCAGAACTCTGTGGATGGTAAGGCCGAAGATTGTGCAAAGTCCAAGGCCGAGTTGGCTGCCTCTAAATCTCATCTCAAGGCGAGATGGCCGAGCGGTCTAAGGCGCCAGACTAAGGACCAGGAAGTTTGACTTCCACCTAGTGAGTTGATACTCAATCTATCTGGTCACAATGTGGCGTGGGTTCGAATCCCACTCTCGTCATAATTTTTTGGTACTTAATGCGTATTTTTTTGTGTCCTGAGCAAGGAGGAACGACAGAAACGAACCTCCGCCTTATCTTTGAGCGGGAGTAGTGAGTGATTTCCTTTATGGGATTGATGGCGCGATCACCGATCGTACTAACCAAATTAAGCAAAGTCCTCTTCCAAAGATCACGCCTGTAAACCCTTCAGTTCCTCTCATTCGACAATGAAGACTTTCAATAAAGATGGATCGAGCACCAGTCAGATATATTACAGTCATGAGTACGGACTACATTTAAGGGAATAGTTAGACGCTTATCTACACGAGAGAAAGAAATAAAGAAGCGTGGGAGGAGAAATACAAAGGAGTGTGTTATGTAGATTATGGAATCGACGATGTCCTTTGTCCAAGTAAACAAACTGTAAAATGAGTGCGGTTGGGACACCAGCAGTGTTTCAAGATGATTTTTCTCTTTTCCATAGTCCCATCTTCCTCAGCGTTCCAGTGAAGCCAGTCTTCGGCCGCTCATTTTGTTCTGTGTGATAATACATTGTTTTCGACCACTGCTCTCTGTTTTCACGGCCATTGGTCTCTTTCGCAGAGGACCTCAGAAAGTTGAATAGATCCACTTGGGTACTATCAGCATCTCCAAGAGATTGCGAGTCCTCTAAATCCGACATGTGCGGTCCCTTCACGGGGTGGAGCTGTTTTGGCAACCCTGTGTCGGCAAACGAGCTGGCAGGCGACAATGGCCTATTGTACGCGATCGCAGAGGATGCCAGTGAATTAGTTCGTTCCATAGGCGATGAAGCAGAATGATAGCCTGAGTCGCTATGTCTCATCCCTTGCCCTGGCACCGAGGTTAGCCTTGTTGGCGATAATGGTGTCGAACGTGCGAGAGGGCTGCTGGCGCGTATGGTCCCAGATACAGAAACTGTACCAGAAGAATCTACACTCCTCATTCCGGGACGGCGCTTGGGCAACGTGTCTACCGAAGAAGCTGTGGAGGACGCCCGGAGTCGGGAGCTTTGTGGAGCATAACCAGCCCCAGTCGCATTCGCGGAAGGATAGCGATGAAGGCCGCTTGCGTAATCAGTGCTATGGAGGTGTTCAGGGACGACATAGAGTTGTTGCGGAGAGAGGGTTGTTTTTCCTGCGTATACTTTCGCCTGCTCAATAGGTTTGACACGCTGTGGGATAGGTGCATTCCAGAGAGCATCTGCATCGAAACTTTCTTGAGGATTTGGTAGCTCGCTATAGCTTGATCCCTCTTTAACAACCTTCTTCGGGGTAGTCGGTCTCGATTTGGATGTCATCTTGGGTTGGGAGGACCCAGAGTTGTTAACAGTTGCTGAGGAAGTTGCTCGCCTCACGTAGTGGGGTTGCTTCCCATTGTTGACTGAGGAATCATTCGCGGTAGTGACGGTATGTGCGGGTTGATGATTACTAGCTTTGTACTCGGCTTGAATAGAGAGCGGGGATCGCGCCTCGACATGGACGATGGGAGGCACGGTGATGGGTACGATGTTCATGGATGGTGGCAAGGGGACAATGGAAGACGATGACGAATGTGAGGTGGATTCAGTGGCGGACTTTGGTTTACTGCTCGGCTTGCTACGCGATTTTGATCGCGTCTTGACCCTTGACATCAAGCTCTTCTTTACGCTCCTGCCACGATCGAGCTCAACTTCGATTTCTTCACCACTTGATGAGCTCTCTGGCGGTGTTGGTAATGTCCGAGACGCGACCTTTTCTTCTACCTCATGAACTCGCTGTGTTTCTCGCAATTCGAGTTCCTTCTCTCGCTCTCGATTTTCTGCCTCCTTCCTGGCACTTTCGAAAGCTAGACGCGTTTGAAGCTCCTTAGCTTGCTCGGCCTCTCTCATCTTCTGATCCGCTCCAGCTTTCCTTCTTTCTTCTTCTTCTAAGGCATCTTGGGCCAGGATTTCTGCCCGAATTCTGTCTTCTTCCTCTGCATTTCTCTGCTCTTCTTCCCATACTTTGATCAGAGGTGGTGGTGGAGTCCGCGATGTCCTTTCAATGAACAACCGGTCGGGTACAGCCGGTTCGAACGAATTCGAGTTCAACGGTGGTCGTGCAGAACTACTGTTGGCTGGACCAAGGACAATCAAGTCCTCCAGACCTCTCACCCAACACCTTCCCGACATCGGTTCACCACTGCTGCCTGCCATCTCCATATCCAATGCACCAAGTAGGATGACTTCTCCAACGGTGAGCTCTCGATTCTGACTGCTGGTCGATGTAGCAGATGAGATGGAAAGGAAGGAACCTTTGGTGCCGGGAATCCTACGTCCGAACAAAGTCGCAGAAACGATGTATGCAACGGGCTTGAAATTGTCTGAAACCTCGGATTTGGCAAGGCTCGACTGACCGGACTCAACGACGGTTGTCAACCCTATCGCGCTCGGGCCAGCAAAGTTTGTCAAGAACTGCTCGAGATTCTGAACAAATTTCGGTTTGGCAGCAGAAGTAGCGAAGGTGCTCGAAGTCCCAGAGAACCCTGACATCGAAGAGACACCGGAGACACCTGACATACCCGACAAACCTGACAAGGTCCTGGTGTGGGGGAAATGAACAGTAGACAGGAGCTGCCCTTGATTTGAAGACAGCATAGATCGATTGTCGAACTCCCCCTGTCCTTGCAAACCGGCATATGGTGAATAGGCTGTTGGTCGGGAGTAGTTGCGAGTTGTGGGTCCAGCGGTTGAAAGAACTTGACTTATCGGAGCAGGTACTAAGCGTTGATTGGTGGGAATTGTCTCATTAGAAGACAGGATCGAGAAGCCCGAAGATAGTGGATTTCCAGACCCATTTCCGATCTGATTTACTGTCATCGAATAAGGTAGTACGTGAATGAGATGAGCAGTTTTGGTCCGTGATCGAGTGTTGACATTGATGTTCCTTGAAGATCCTCGACGAGGCATCAGTTGTTGGCGCCTGGCGTTCGCGGGAGTTGTAGGATCCTTTAATTATACGAATAAGAAAGAAGTTGGATTAGTTTACTTCATCGTGAATGTGTTGAGAAAACACATACTCCATGATTCTTTTGGTGTGGGTGGCTTGTAGGCAAACTGACCACAGAGTCTCTCGGGTTGCTGTCCTTTGTTACACCAGCGCTTGATGATCCAAACAAGGCGCTCAGCCGCCTCTTCAGGCCACTAAAGCTGGATCGCCTGCCATTCGTTCGCGCAGTGGACGTCGAAAAATGAGGGACTGACGTAGCTGATGTTCCAGAAACATCAGACGCGAATGACACAGTTGAGAATCTTTGTATGTTACCCTGTGTAGAATGAACATACGACGTCGGTGGGAAGGGTTGAGGAGCTGAGGAGGTGTAAGATCGGGCGTATGGATTTGTACCTCCATGATTGGCGGTCGGATCAATTGTCGAACCATTCGAAGATGTGGGTCTCCTGCTTAGCGTCGGTTTCTGAAGAACCGAGCGAGTTCTCAGTGCACCCGATGGCGGAGGTACGCCCAGCGAGAAGGTGTTTCCTGAGTTTACCGGCGGCGCTAAGTACTGCGCACAAAGCGTTGAAACGAGGATGGCTTGCTTGAGCAGGGCCTTCTCCGATAAACCCGAGGGAAGGAAATTGAGAATAGCGTCGAATGTACGTGTCTCGGCTAGAGCCTCAATATCCGTAGATGAAGAGGGTGAAGAGCTCGAGGAAGGTAGAGGGAGGTCGCCATTGAGCATATCAGTCATTGCCTCCTTAAAGAGCTTTGATTGGGCGTATAAGAAATCGATTTGGCTGCGTGTAAGGGATGGCGATGATGGTAGTTGCGGACTTTTTCCAATAGAAGACGTCCGTGAGGTAAGAGATGGCGCAGGAGAAGACCGGCTTGGCTGGTATTGGGATACCAGGGGCTTATTCGAGCCATTGTCGGGGTGCAGCTCAGGGGGCGATGCGTAGTTCACTGGCTCGACGCAGGTGTATTCTCCTCCCGGAAGCTCCTCGGTAAGTTGCATGACGCGATTCTGAATTCGAACCAACGCAGACGTAGGTGGATAGATGGATGCGTATCGCCAAAGGCGGGCCACCTTTTGGGCTCTCTCAAAGATATTCACAACCCGTAAGGCTCCATTCTCGTGAGCAGAGAGGGGATTTGGCAGTCTCAATATGCGAACCGACGGCCCAGGGCTAGATGGTGATAAAGCAGGAAGCCGAGGTGGCGAATGCGTTGCAATAAGAACGAGAGAACGGGCTAGGTGTGGTGATGTAAGGAGGGGAAAGAGGTCCGAGTGTGACGGTTCTAATAGTTGTATAAGCAGATTCTCATCGAGCTGAGATACTATTATAACAAACCTCCGAGTATAAGGATAACTTGAGCTGCAGAATGTGGAAGACTAGGAGGGATGTGCCATGGTTGACTCATAGCTAGAGTTTGAGGGTTTTCTGAGGGATTCCTTGGTCGAAATGCATCTGATTGCATGAAGGAAGGAATAAACGAGAAGGGAGCTGCAAAGAACTGCTCGCATCGCGGAGAAAATAGAAACACCGGGATCCATGTTGTTACAGGTAGCGAAGATACTCAAGAAAATTCGAATGCGTCGCAGTCAAACAAATTGCCGAAGCGGTGCTTAACTTGCCGAGCCTGTGCCGAAGGATATCCTCCGACTCATGGACAAGGCAAGCAGTCTCATAGACTCAAATGACCTTGAGCCATTCAACAGTGTTCATGAATATTATTAGTCGACCGCTTTCCACCGCCAGGATGCGCTCAAAGAAGATACAGTGGTAGATGCTATTTCGATCATGTGAAGCTTCGCGTGAGCATTGCATTCAGCGCTCCTCGTGAACCAGTCGCTTCGTAGAGACAACACACGAGGTATTCCGACTTGGCCCGGTATAAAACCTTGACACGATAGCATTTAGATACTATATGGCTCTATCAGCCACAATAAAAGTCTATGGATAGCTGCCTCAAAACAAGAAATGCGCTCAGGAGAGCCCAAGGACAAATGTCACCTCATCATGCCAATAAGTAGTGAGACA